AATTATTGTATAACTAAATAGTTATATTAAATGAATTCGTTATCCAGTATCCACCATCCACTTTTCACTATCTGATAGCCATTAGCTACTAAAATTTAACCGTTGTACCAAATAAACCCTTAAAATATTATCAACACTTTTATATAAATTTTGTGATTCGAATGGATTTAAATTTTATCTTAATTTTATATGACATCATATGAATAAATGTATCATTTTTAATTAAAGGATCATTACTTGATGGGGGCTCAAAAGATAATTATAATAAATTAGTCCGCTTTCATATTTAAAAAACCCTAACTTTACAAGTAATGAAGTTAAAAATTGACATGCCTTATCAATTGTCACTATACAAAAGTTAAATAAAGAAAAAAAAAATCTAAATCTTAATACTAATTATATTTGTTTTATTTAATTTATAGATTTTATATGATATTTTGAACTATGATAATTCTATTTTTAGATAATATATAAATTATGCACTATAGAGGCTCAGGTATGTATCTATTGATTTCACATACTATATTTCATGATTTGAGTGATTTAGTGTTTTAGAATCTAATTTGTGATTAATTATTTAAATAAAGCTAACAGAGTGAGGCTGCAGGTTCAGTTAAACTATTGGGCACTTTAGCTGCTTAAATTATTGAATGACTACTTGGAAAGAACACATGGCTAGTTCATCTATGTTGGCCACAAAAATTTTTCATGGATCACATTTTTGGGATTGCCTTGTTAACTTTTATATTATTGAAAGGCTACTAGTAACAAACACATGGCTGCTTAAGTTATTGAAAGGCTACTGGTAACAAACACATCTCTCCCAAATGCACATGGCACTGTTCATTTATATTGAGTATAATCAAGTTTACAATCACTCTCATATTTTTCAATTTTACCATAATAAGAAAGTATTTTAAGTGTAAGTTTGATCAAGATTTACAAATTTGATCCCCTCATATTAGACCTATTAAATTCTAGCTCCACTAATGTATAAATTTTTAGTCACATTCTTAGGTTTTGTTTGAGAATGTTTTATACAGATTTCACACTATGCTTGACCTGAAAACAAATTTGCTGGAAACAGATCTCAATGTTTTCAGGCTTTCCCTGGCTTTTGACACCGATTTTAAGTATTTATAATTTTTTTAAAAAATATATTTATATTTGACCTTACTTTTTTTTTTCTTTTTTTTTTCTTTTTTGGGCCTTTCTCACGTGAATATTGATCAGGCCATAAAGTTTTGAACTTTCACGAAAATGAAAAATACTCTTTGACTTTTTCATAACATGTACGAAAATAGGGAAGTAAAAGGGAAGCTAACAAGTACTTCGTGTAAACTTTAATTTGTTTTTAAATATTTCCAAGTTTCTGACTAAAATTCTTGTTGATGCACCTCTTTGGGAGGTACAAGAAAACTAAATTACCGAAAAGTTCAAAATTGGAAAGATCCGATATTTTGATTTCTTTGCTCCTTCTTTGACAACGTGAGAATATTTAATATTACCTCATATTCATTTTATTTCTCAATATTTTTAGGTACAATTTATTTTTTTAGAGTAAGAGGTGAAATTTTTTATAATATATAAAACATAATTATTGTTATCAAAAGCTTTTGCCCCTTTTTTTTTCTTAAGAATAATTAATTAGTTTGAACTATATTATTG